CGATCAATGGGCACTAAAGGTGACAAATCCAACCACCTATAGTACTTACCTATCCACTTTACTTTCCAACTCCCACGCCCATGTTCCCTACTTTCCTATATTATACACAACACGCAGGTGGATATTTGCTTACGCGAATATTTTGAAGAGTGACGCCTTCACGTGTTCCTAGTCACCCCATATTCTTATGAAAATGGAGTTTAAACAAAGCCTCGGAGAAATGCCGCTATCTGAGGAGCGTCTGGGCACGTCTTGAGCTATCGCTGGGCGTTGCAGCATGCGAGCCGATAGGGACGAGTTGGTGAACAGGCGGCCGCTCGTTGGGATACCCGAAACCTTTACAGCCGAAAGAATACTACCTAGATTAGATCCTTGGGGCACCCCAGCTATAATAGGCAAGGAAGTAGAACTCTCTCCATTTAAAATTACCTTTTGAAAACGGTTAGTGAGGTAAGATGGCATAAGTTCCACAGCAGTGGCACTAAATCCAATAAATCGCAAGATACTAAACAAAATTTGGTGAGAAATTGTGTCGAATGCTTTAGAATAGTCTAACATGACCAAAATCGATGTTCTATTTTTATCGGCAGCAGACAGTATATCATCCGTTATATTCAAGAGGGCAGTAGCACAACTATAACCTTTCCTAAAACCCGATTGGGTTTCAGGTAAGATATGAAGCGTAATAATTATGCTTATTGATTTGCTCTACCATTATTTTTTCTAAAATTTTTGACATAACTGGTAAGATGCTGATGGGACGAAAGTCCTTAAATAATTTAGGTTCGTTTATCTTAGGTAACGGTATAACATTAGCAGTCTTCCATATTTCTGGTCTTATGGTTGCTGAGAAAAAAATTAAAGAAGAAATCCAAATTTCACCACTTCTTTGGGGGTGGCTCCCAAACGAAACACGTTGGACCCTCGGTTTATTCGGAAAAAGTGCTTGTCTTGCTCCCCTCTATCACCTATTTTTTTTACGTGCGGTCATGTAACACCCTGTATACTATGCGATCAAAAATGAGTTGCTGTCGTGTCACATTTGGAATTTTTTTTTACATGGGAAATCGTACGTAACTTGAACTTCCAAAGGCAACTTGACAGCAACTCATTTTTGATCGCCCGTTATAATAGCTATTTATGTTACAAGTACATAATCTATGACTTTATTGCTGAAATTTGGTATAGATTTCTCTATTTAATAACCAGAAATAACATAGTGTGCCTTTTGTGTTGTCATAGATACGTGTTGTTTGGAAAAAAATCTGTTGATGTGTAGTGTCAATTTCGTTGGGTATTAACTAATTCTCTGTACCTAATTATGAATCCCAAGATGAGTCCAGAAGAAATTGATGGGTACAACCGTATACAACAATTAGCCTGCAATGCCAGAGAGATGCTTTTACCAAGCAAATCAAAAACTGTATATGAGGCCGCATACAGGGAATACAGAAGGTGGTACTGGGGGAAGAAAATCAATTGCACCATGGAAGACTGTATATTGGCGTACTTTAATAGTGAGCTGGTCTCCTATAAAAGTTCTTCTTTATGGAGTAAGTATACTCGATGTTACGATCGACAATTAATTTAAATGAGGGAGTGGATATAATCAAATTTCCCAGCCTAATTCCTTACCTCAAAAGAAAAGGAGATTCTGACAGAGATCTGACAATTCTAAAATTAGTGTTGCCAGCAAAATTTTGGGAACGGAAACCGTTATGGCAAATTCTTCGTTCAGAAATTTAAAAGCCGTAGAGACCACAGAAATATTGCATCAAAAAGGTACATCGGGAATTAACAACCAAAAATAACAACTATGTTATTAACATTAATTTGGTATAATAATTGAAATGTATAATATAGATATGTGTTCTTAAAATTATAGCATTCTGTTCCGTGTACTTCTTCTTTAAAACAGATCGTTATTTTAAAATGCATTTTACAAAGAAATTGACAGTGACAGGAGTCCAAATTACTTTATCATTATGGACTAGTCCAATAAAGTAGCAGATTATGGACGCTAAACAGTGTCATAACTCAGCGTATTATGATCGAGTCGAACATAAAAACATTTATCGGTACAAAGCAAAACTGTATTAAGGCTTTGTCCAGTGCTGAGCCGGAAAAGCAATCAATTTCTTTCAGCTCTATCTCAATACAGACCACCATGTTTCAATACGTTGGTTGTTTTGGGTTGTTCCATAAATAAAGCTGTTCTCACCAAACATAGTGTCGCAGTTATCAACTGGTTCTTCTCTGAATATTTGTTGAATTTTTTCTACGTACACATTTTCTGTACCGCAATCAACGCGTACTCGTTTAGGCCATCCACCAATTTCTTTAACGACATCGAAGTAATAACCTCCAATAACATTTGGATTACTTGCAGTCCTGCTTGCCCTCAGCCATATTATTCGTCTCAAAAAACCATCAATGCACCCGCGCTAATAGCTAATCCATAAGGTTTTAGTTTGTCATATGCGTCCATATGCCATACCTAAATTAGGGCCATTTATCGAATATTTTCGTCGGCGTAGTCTTTTACGTTTTCTGTATTCTACGTACGCCTTCTGGATTCAATTCTTGTAAAATTACTCTAATTGTAGCCTGTGTTACAACAAATCCATTCTGTATGTCTATGTAATCTATGATGAATCCAACGATATCCACATAATTGAACAGATTCCTTTAACTGGCTTTGGATAAAATCGATGATTGTGGATAAATCCGAATAATGTTTTTTTATATACAATAACTTCTTCAATTTACGTATTATGTCTCAAATAGATAAAAGCCAGTATTTCATCGTAATGCATGCCACTTCAAAAATAACCTCTTACTAAATCATCGGTAAAGCGTTGCTGGGTGCATCAAATAAATCTACGTTATTCATTTCGATTTTCCACAAATGCCACTGCACATTAAACTCGTAACTCACTCTGCAATATCCGACATAAGTGTTGAGTTTGTGTAACATTTTTTTTCCAATATATTACATTTTTTCGCAATATTTTTAAGTTTTTCGCAATATATTCAATTGTTTCCAATATATTCCATTTTTTTCCCAATACATTCAATTTTTTTCCAATATATTCAATTTTTTCCCAATATATTCAATATTTTTCCAATATATTGGAAAAAATAATTTTATTATAATTTTGTGACCCTTAGGCGCTTTCGTATTTAGCAACAAATTAGCAGTTTTAAACTTTGATAAAACGTGTTTTTTCGTATAGCTCCCCGCATGCTGAAGTTTTCAATGCACTAATTTTACAATTTACAGTTTGCAACAAATTTAGCAACAATCTATTCATTCGATTTGACTGGGAGTGGTATATGTTCATTCGCTCAGTTCTTGAGAGTAATTAAAAAAAAATGATACAGTTATGTCTTACAGAACCGGAGAAATTGTGAGTTTTCTATGAAAAACGTGATTTCACTTTTGCAATTTTTTTTCGTTTTTCGCTAATAAAAAAGTTCTGACCTACTCAAAACAGTTGTATTTTTAGTATGTGATAGCTATCAATGAGACCTATCGATTGATATACATTTCACCTGGTTCTACGCCATTGTCGGTCATGGTGATAATTTTACTGCGAATTTACTCCACTATGTAGATGTATCTTTTAGTGTGATTCACAGTGAAATGTGGTTCACGTCAGGGTGTCGGTAGAAGTGAAATTGCTTTCGGTAAGGAGAAATTGTCTATTCTTCAAAATTATGCATTGCAAGGAAATCTCTCTGAATGTCAATGGCATATTATTTTATTGCGGTTCCAGTAACGTTGTAATCTGATATTCTTTCTTGTTGGTACTTATGTCTTTCCCATAGAAGGGCTGCACAAAGCATCAGAAGACTTGACCCTGATTTTTTGCAACTACAACCTCCTACAAAGCATTATTTGAGACACTTGCAGGATATAAATAACCAAACTTTAAAATACCTTCTAATTCAGGTTGAGTGGCATTGACCTCCATAGAAGAAGTTGTCTTGATTTAAAAAATTCCTCTAGGTCAACGCTCGTATTTGTGGTATATGAAGTTACAAGCATTGGCGATGGCCCGAAGTATGTAGGTGAATTTTGCATACGGTCGCCCCAGATTGAAAAGATTCGTTTTTGTTGATTACAGAGATTACTTACTTGTCGGAGATAAGAGTTCATCAACTTCGCGGCAGCTTGGAACACGTAGTGTGCGCTTACAGTAATTTACCTCGGGTGAACATACCTTTTCTATTTGTCGTTTGCTGAATTGTAAGACGAAATTATTTTGCATCGCTCAAGTCTGCGATAAAAAGCAACTCGAAGCAAAAATGCAACGCCACGAATACGATGTCACGAGTTACCCAATCCGAATTAAAAAAAATTGCGCTTACTTACTGCAATGAAATTTATTTACCTGGCTTTTCCATCGCTCCAAAATTTTATTCAGGGACCCCGTCCTTTGCTTTACTCTACAAGAAGAAAATTATTATTGGCGCAGCTCGAGATGCTCTAGCTATTTTGATTTTTTACTTCGAATTTCTGAAGTCAAATTTCCAGTATTTCTCACGTGCGACATTCAAGCGCCCCTTCGTGCTTTTGAAATGACCATTTTGTGTACCGACCCCTATAGACAACCTATTAAATCCGTTTTACCCCATAAACTTTTGACTTCCGAATCCCGCAACTACAACTCCTCTCGTTCTCCAGTTAAGGGCGTTTAAGGGTGTCCTGACATTAAATACAACCGTCAGCTTTGGTGTTGTACCTACTTAGTTAGTCAGAACGTGCATCGGGATGCCTGGAGTACCGACCCCTTCGCCTGTACATACGTACATACTACACCTCGTCTGTAAGGCACGAAATAATGAAAAAGTATCTCGTATGAAATTTCCTTGTGAGGTGGTTGGCGTTTGGACCAGCATAATCCAATTTTATCAAAACTTTTAAGTGGCATTGTCGAATTTCGCACACAAAAGCTATAAGAAAAATAACAATATTCAATGATAATCTATTTTAGGTCGCGATCGTTGCGAACACCCGCAAATTCCCTAGTCATGAATTTGGCAATAAGCGACGCATTAATGATGTCAAAAATGCCCGTATTTATTTTTAATAGCATAGAGAGCGGACCAGCGCTTGGCAGGTTGGGTAAGTCTATAATTATGTAACGCACAACTAATAACGGCACACGGGCACACTTTCTTTTTTTTGTGTGTAAATTTATTACTCATCACTCATCAGTAATACATGGTTACTGAGGTTTTTGTATAAAGAGGCTACTTCAAAGGTTTTTTGTTGAAACATATTATTGTTTTCTATTTTGTTTTTAGACTCATTTTTTGAAACTTTTCACCAAATAAAAAATTATTGCGATGGTAGATAACACAAATCTAGTAAGTAAAGCATACTTGGAGAATACCTGTATAGATACCTACATTATTTATAGCAAAGATTAATGATTTAGTTCTAATAGATGTATTTCACAAGAGAAGGTGAGGAAAGAAGGTATTGAAGAACTACTTAACAGTACCATACCCACTGCAATACTTCCTTTCACAATCGTGTTTCATTAAAGCAACGTTTTGATATTGAAATGATTATTTATTTTACATTGTATACATACCTATATGTTATGCATTATATACCAATTATTTATCTTAATTATTTATGTCACAAACATCTAAAGCTTCCATTGCTTCACAAAACAGTGTTTAGGTATTGCGCTAAGGATTCAGCTAACCAGAACTTCTCACCTTCCCGTCCCATAATTATAAGTATAGTTATTGTTAAATATTATTTTCAGGGTGTCAAATATATGGTTTCCTTGGCGGACTGAGCGGCACTGCTTCAATCTGTACATTGGCCGCAATTTCATTAAATCGATATTATGTAATCAAATTCCCACTGAATATGCGTTTTACGGGTGCCCGTTCTAAAATTTGCATTGCCCTTGCGTGGATATACAGCGTAACATTTTCCAGCATACCACTTCTCGACACCGAATTAGGCTCATACGTACCAGAAGGATATTTGACCAGTTGCAGTTTTGATTATTTATCGGAAATGGCGGGAGTAAAGTTGTTTATATTAATTTTCTTTACTGCTGCCTGGCTAATGCCCTTCACGATAATCACATTCTGTTACATACATATATGGATAGTCGTATTGGAAACAAGAAACGTTGGAAAATCCGGAAACGAATCTTCCAGGAATATAAAGTTGGAAGAAAAACGACGGCAAGATCTGAAGTTGGCGGGCACAATTTTTATTATCATTATCTTATGGTTTGTAGCATGGACTCCTTATGCTGTGGTCGCTTTGCTAGGAATATCCAATCATGCGGATCTCATAACTCCTCTGGCATCAATGATTCCGGCTCTGTTCTGTAAAACGGCATCCTGCATTGATCCATTTGTTTATGCGTTGAGCAATCCAAAGTTTAAAAACGAAGTTAAAAGATGTTTTTTCAAAGGGTCTATACATAACTATCAAAGTTCGAAAGTATGGAGTACGCGCGGTAGCACGGAGAGGCGTAGAACTTTAAAGGACGAGGTAAAAGATGAGGTCAAAAGTGTGGAGTCGATATCAGAAGAGGTGCAAGAGGAAATAATATTAGTTAGCATAAAGTCATAAATGTTTATTAGAAAACAGGCGGTAAATACTCTGTAGCACGATAGACTTTAACTGTAGTGTTATTAAAGAAAACAGTTATTCAATTTCTAATTTTGTATAAATAGTAATGTATCTACTCTACCATAGAGTAAATAATATACTCTGTAACCCTTTTTGTTTATTAAGGTGTGCACTGTGAGATAAGAAATTAATGGTTACCTGCACCGGCAGCTCTAGAGCGGATATCCCCAGCGGCTTTTTGGTTCTCGAACGTAATTGGCACTTTTGGGCGCCACTCAACCTGAATGCTTTTAAATGAACTACGGGGTTGAGACCGTACAAAAAGTTATTGAAAAACAGGTTAACAATTTATTTGAACAGATAACTGATAACAGTAAGTGATAGGGTTTAACGTTAAAGGTTAGAAGGGTTAGTAGTTTGAATTTATAAATTTAAATAAGTTTGAGGAACGAAATCAATTTAGCTAGGTATTGTTTGAAATGTGATGGTTGGAGATAACTTGCCTCCTCTTCGGCGTGTGGTGTGCCAAGCGCTTAATGAGATTGATGGACGGATACGTGATAAAAAATTGAATTACAGTACAGGTGTAACTTGCAGATTTTCCAGTTGGTGGTGTAGATTTAAATGCGTTTCGCAAATGAAATGCCCAATTAAAAAAAAACCCTGAAAGATGTAATTTCCAGACCAGTATCTAACGTTTTTTATAACTCACCTCAATGAGGGTTTTTTCGATCACAAAACAAATGTAATACTTTAACTATATTCAATACATAATCGACTTAAATCATTCCCTGAAATAATGATTTCAATTAGAATAGGATTTATTAGGTTTGAACTCACCTCAATGAGGGTTTTTTTTTGGTTCCACTGATATAATGTAACTGCTTTATACAGGGTCATTCTTGACGAGCGTCAGTTAGAAAGATATGGAAAACCTTTGAAAATGAAAATAAACTGATAAGCCCCTTAAGGGTTTTGGCACATGATGAATTGAACTAAAATATTTTCAAAATGGCGCCACTTCCGGAAATACCGGAAGTAGTCATCAACTTTGTTATTTTAAATAGGGACCCCCTATTTTTTCTACATTTTCGGATTCTACGTCAAATTTGGAGTACAACGATACCCCATAGTTGACCCTTTGCTCCAAGGGCTTCGCCGATATTCAAGTTTTTGTGTCAAAAATTGAATTTGCAGGGATAACTTTAAAAATTTATTATTCGAAAACGGTGAGAGATATTGCAAAATAGTTTTCAATGCTTTATTAAGGAAAGATCGAATTTTCTTATGGTATGCGTAAGAGTGTAAAAAAGTGAGACTACGTCACTTTTTCAAAGCTCTCAACTTTTAAACCTTTAAATATCCGTAACTCCATTTTTTCAAATGGCACCCCCCATTTTGTTTTTCGCCCTTGTTTTCCTTTTTCCCAGACCTTTAATTTGATGCAAAATGTCAAAAGCTGCTCCAAACGGTTTCCGAGATATTCCATGTTTTAGTTACTTCTTGTGGAAAGTTGATAAATAAATTAAGTCGCTTGATGTTATTCTTTTGTTTTTATTATGATAATGTTTCAACGTCAAATTTTCGCTGCTTGAACTTATACTTCTCAATTTCTCGTTGGATAGGTATCATTGAGCGATGCAGTTGGATTTGCAGCAAAATACGCCAGTAGGTACAGTTATTTCTTGTTCTTCAGAGTCTACCACAGGCTTCCTTTTTTGTATTTTTGTTTGAAAGATACCGTTATTCCTGAAATTTTGTAGTAATTTGCGAATTGTAGCCTCTGTGGGTTGCGCCTTGTCAGGGTATCTTTCGGAAAAAAGACGACAAGTCCTGGCAGCTATTCGATTACATTCACCGTGTATTAATATTAAATTCAAAAAATCTTCATTAGTGTAACCCAAACGAGCCATTATTGACGAGAAGTATAAGTTCAAGCGGCAAAAATTTGACGTTTAAACATTATCATAATAAAAACAAAAGAATAACATCAAGCGATTTAATTTTTTTATCAACTTTCCACAAGAAGTAACTAAAACATGGAATATCTCGGAAACCGTTTGAAGCAGCTTTTGACATTTTGCATCAAATTAAAGGTCTGGGAAAAAGGAAAACAAGGGTGAAGAACAAAATGGGGGGTGCCATTTGAAAAAATGGAGTTACGGATATTTAAAAGTTTAAAAGTTGAGAGCTTTGAAAAAGTGACGTAGTCTCACTTTTTTAGACTCTTACGCATACCATAAGAAAATTCGATCTTTCCTTAATAAAGCATTGAAAACTGTTTTGCAATATCTCTCACCGTTTTCGAATAATAAATTTTTAAAGTTATCCCTGCAAATTCAATTTTTGACACAAAAACTTGAATATCGGCGAAGCCCTTGGAGCAAAGGGTCAACTATGGGGTATCGTTGTACTCCAAATTCGACGTAGAATCCGAAAATGTAGAAAAAATAGGGGGTCCCTATTTAAAATAACAAAGTTGATGGCTACTTCCGGTATTTCCGGAAGTGGCGCCATTTTGAAAATATTTTAGTTCAATTCATCATGTGCCAAAACCCTTAAAGGGCTTATCAGTTTAGCTTAATTTTCAAAGGTTTTCCATATCTTTCTAACTGACGCTCGTCAAGAATGACCCTGTATATTTGCATAGTGTAAGAATAGAATAGTGAAACAACCTTACGGAAAAAAAAGGTAACCAATTTGGACATCGAGATTTTTTAGTTCTGGACGCGACAATCTGAAAGGGGGGCGCAGAAGTCGTGGATTTTAAAAGTAACCGATGTTACAAACTCTTAACAATAAATTGCCATTTGGCGCTACACTAGAATAGATGGCGCGTTTTGCAAAGCGAATTTACAGAAGGAATATTATACCTACTTTTATCTCATTTTTATGCGTAAGAAAAATAAAGAGGTAAATTAATCCAATTAGGATTGGAATTTCAGGGCGGGAGTTCAAGTTTCATGTGAAAAATGTTGAAAAATGTAAATTTAGCCACCAAGGTCTGTTTGTAGTACCCGCCGCATTGAGGATATGTCGATATGATTAGCACCGACATGCACATGTCCATAAATAGAAGTTAATTTACATTTAAATCAATACATACCTTAATATGTTATCATTAACTCGAAAACTTGAAACTTGCCTAGCCACATCCTATTTTCATAAAACTTGCTCTCCATTGCCTATTCGATATTTCCCTATATCGCGGCCGAAATGCCATATGGTGTGTTTATTCTTATTTTTGTGGTAACAGACGTATTCAGAGACCTCAAAAACATTTGAAATGATACCCAACATTCCAACATTTGGGTTCAGCATTAAAGTTTTACTTTTTGGCGGCCATTTTTAAAAATGGGGGGCTATCATGACTTCCGGCGGTTGTTCGGAAATTCTGACCATTGCATTGCGTTCAACAGGTTCGAATCTTGCGGCGGTGACTACAAGCACGCCTTTCAACATTTTTCATATGAAACTTGAACCACCGCCCTGAAATTCCAATCCTAAGGGATGAAATTTCAGGAACTACGGGTCAAATCATTTTTTAAGGTCTGTAGTGTACTTAACCCCCAGGTTCTACGCTAATTTCACAGTACAAGAACTCGGAAATAAAGTCAACCCGGCAACGTTTAAAAATCGCCACCCGAATGACTATTCCCTCCATAACTAAACAAGATCCCGCTTAAATTTGGAAAGTGGCACATGATCAAACATCTAAGGCAGGGCCCCCTTACGTTAGTCGTAGACAACGCTTTGACCTGAAGCACAGTAGAGAAGGAACATAAAATAAACCACTGAAATTGTGAAAAGTTTGTATAATAATGATCGTAATTATTATGATGATTGTAAAAGCTCGGAAATTTAAGTCGAAATAAATTACATTGCAAAAATAAACTTTGAAAATGGTAGTTCATCGAATAAAAATAGAAATAGGCTGGAAAAAGAACTTACCAAAAAAAACCAGCCGTCAAATTAATATTAAATTGTGTAGTAAAATTAATTGTTTGTAATGATGTGAATGCGTAACATAAAATTATAACATCACAAAAAGTAGCAGGTAACCTTCAAGAGGTAACATATAGGTTAAAAACAAGTTTTGGGAATTATGGGTGAGGTAAGCAGGTACTAAGATTCTCAGAAAGGGTGAAATACACAGGATGTGACGCATCTTTGGTGCAATAAAGTCCTTTTGTTAAAAGCAAGATGGAAAATGACATGGTCTTGAAGGTAAATTTAACTAAAAATAAGATATGTGGAAATTATTGAATCGCCACTCATTTATCGCACATAGATTCTAAACTGAAGAGCTTTGATTAGAGTAATCCCGCTCCTGCAAGATAGGTAACCCCGCCCCTGGTTTCGGGGTTTCGAGCCTACAGTTGAAAGTCGAAGACAATCACGGAATTAGGTGTCGTAGCTCAATTTTGACTACAGTTTTTACCACCTTCGTGACTGCTTCATTCAAGGAGAAAATTGTTAGTAACAAACAACTAGTCAGTGCATACATCAAACGAATCGGTAATGGGGGTTTACAGTATAGTTAAATTCCGCAGTTCTAATTTAATAAGCGTGTACCTGAAACCATAAAACATTTTTTTGGACAGTAAAAGTTTATTTAAAAATAGAGGCTGATTAGCAAAACAATAATGAACATATGCGGTTTTAAAGGTTTATTCAAAACGATATGATTGTGGCGGGCTCTGTGACGTAATAAGCCCGACCAATCAGCTCCTAGAACTGTTCAGATGACAAAACGACTTGGCAATATTGCAGGAGAATGACATTTATAACTTGCGTCATCTGTCACAGGCACTTGTCACTTTCGTGCTAGATCACAGCCGTCTATAATGACAAGCCATGCTGAAAAGATTGGCAACGTTGTTCGAAAGTCAATCGGTGGGCCGATATAAGTTTTAATGGCGTCTTGTTGCTCTTGAAAAATTGCATTTTTCCTCTCTCCTGTGTTTCACCTTTGGCGGTTTTAATATAGAAGAAAGATATTTAGACAGCTTACATTTGTGGATATATATTACTTATTTACAAAAATAATTGATAATAACATTTTTATTTGACTTTAAAATTCGGAACGCTGTAAATTGGTAACTGCATTATAATGTGTTTTCCATCGAGATCTCCAAAATTGGTGAACTTCTGTCGAAAGAGGTCGAGGTGAAGCACACGCTTGAGCACTTAATTTCGGTAAAAGGACAGTAAATCGCTACGCATCAGCGAGGTTTTATCAACGACCAGGTGTGATTCGGAATGGCAGACTTTAAGCCAGTCGCTACCCCAGTGGGTCTAGGTAGGTACGTAACTTTTAAAGAGGGGAGCACCGTAGACTTCAAATTCCCGTACCATGAACTCTTGGGAATAAGTTGAAAGGTTCCTTCAGAAAATCGATTTGACATGTCTCTGCTAGAATACCTGAAATACAAACTAATTGTATTTTTTCACGATAAACACTTACCGTACTTACGTACCATGTAGTGTGTAGGTCATATTTGAGCTTGTACAGGTACTTTGAACAAAGTGCTTGTAAAGGGCTTGTAAGGAGTAGCCTGCTTTAGAGGTTATGACAACAAATCGATATATTTCGTTTAGCAACTTACCTGAATAATAATTTCTGTTCATCCCATACGGAGTAACACAAATTGTCGCAATCTCGCTCTGTTAAAACAGGTAAATAGGAATATTACACCCAAAACACGTATAAAATACACCTGAAATCTGTCAAGTAGAATTAGGAAATCGGCCTACCATGCAGTGTTGCCATAATTCTCAGCACGGCTTGTAATTATAGACGGTTGTGGCTAGATGCAGTTAAACATCCCTCTCAAAACGTCAAATGTGACAAACGTCAGACCTTCGCGTAAGGTTGCCAGCTCACTTCTACGTGATTGGTTGTAGGTTTGTGACGTATTTAGTCTGAAGCGTTTCAAATTCGGACTAAAAACACATCTTTTCAATAATTTATTTTGGGTTTATTTTACTCGCAAATAAAAATTGAGGACACACGGGTCTTTTTATTTTTAATGTACTTTGTGGATCAGAAATAAACAAGTTAAAAAGTAATCGTAAACGATTTACATAAAGCGCATTTCCACTTGCATTCATTTCCCATTTGTAAGATGCAGCTTCTGTTAAAATCGTAAAAATCCGGCCACAAATATGAAAGATAGCGTTGCACATGGGCAATCCATTTTGGACGTGCTACTTCAATTTCAGTTTATGAGAAGAATTTCATTTCAATGCTTTTCTAAATAAGGAAGTTGGAACTGCGCATGCGCAAACCTAAATTTTAAAACTAATGTTAGATTTTCCTTTGTTCCAAGCGCCTAAGTATCAAATTTCACTTAAATCGTTCCATAGATAAAAAAGTTGGCACTGCGCATGCGCAAAATAAAATTTTGAAACTGGCGCTAGATTTTCCTTTATTCCAAGTGCCTATGTATCACATTTCATTTCAATTCTTCCATAAATAAAAAAGTTGGCACTGCGCATGCGCAAAGCCAAATTTTGAAATTGGCGTTTGATTTTCCTTTATCCCAAGTGCCTATGTATCAAATTTCGTTTAAATTCTTCCATAAATAAAAAAGTTGGCACTGCGCATGCGCAAAACCAAATTTTGAAATTGGCGTTTGATTTTCCTTTATCCCAAGTGCCTATGTATCAAATTTCGTTTAAATTCTTCCATAAATAAAAAAGTTGGCACTGCGCATGCGCAAAACCAAATTTTTAAATTGGCGTTTGATTTTCCTTTATCCCAAGTGCCTATGTATCAAATTTCGTTTAAATTCTTCCATAAATAAAAAAGGTGGCACTGCGCATGCGCAAAACCAAATTTTGAAATTGGCGTTTGATTTTCCTTTATTCGAAGTGC